TTTCCTTTTCCTTTTCCTTTTCCTTTTCCTTTTCCTTTTCCTTTTCCTTTTCCTTTTCCTTTTCCTTTTCCTTTTCCTTTTCCTTTTCCTTTTCCCCTTTCCTTTTCCCCTTTCCCTTTCCCCTTTCCCCTTCCCTTTCCCCTCCCTCAGCCGGGGTATTTAATGCTTTCCCTGCATCCCAACCTCTGCTTTTCACCGCGCCTGGAGCACAGCCGGCGCGGGGGCCTCGCCTCTCCATTGCGGAGGAGCGGGAACGTGGAAAAGCCTCTGGAAAAGCTTCTCCTGCTAATGGCAGTGCGGGAGAAGGCGGCGGAGGCTCAGCCTCCCCCGGGCATCCTCCCAGCGGGGTGGGACCCGACCCGGAGCGCTCATCCTGGGGATGGTGAGGAAGCCGCCGCTGCCCTTCCCGCTGCCAGGCTGGCTTTGGGGCTGGGAAAGGGAAAAGATCCTCCCTGGGAGCTGGGAAAAGTGGAGGCGCTGCCGGAGGTCGATGTGTGTTGGCATCGGGACCTCAGGGTGCCCTGCTGGCTTGGGTGCGGGCACTCACCGGCCCTCCCGGGGCACTCGGTAGCTCAGGCTGGCTGTAGGGATGCTGGGTGCGGCTGTAGGGATGCTGGGTGCGGCTGTAGGGATGCTGGGTGCCCGGGGGCATCGCCCGCAGCTCAGGGCACTCCTTTTTCTCTCTCTCTCTCGGCTCCGCGCTGCCTTGTGCAGCGGGGTGAGAGCAAAGCAGCGTTTCCTCATCACCCGAGGGCTTCGCCGGGCACGGAGCGGGGGCTGGATGGGGAGGAGCCGCTCACCTCATTAGCCAGGTTCCCAACCGACCTCGCCGAGCCCAAAGGCGGCCGGCTGCCACCTCCTGCGGGCACCCCCGTGCCAGCCTCCGGCACGCAGGAGCTGCGCTGGCGGTGGGATGCGGGCACCGGGCACAGCGGGTAAGTGCCGCCCCTCGGAGCCCCGGCTCCGTGCCTTCCTCCCCGCCCGGTGCCGCCTCGGAGTGTCCCCCCGGGCCGGGCAGCTCGGTGCCCGCTCCAAGGGACGCCCGCGATGAGTGTCCGGGGCTTTTTGGGGCGTGAGCTCGCCGGGATGCGAGCGTTGCTTTGGCCTGGAGCCGGCACACGGCAGAGGAGCTGGAGCCCCGGCAGCCAGCGGCGGGAATGCCGCTGGAATGCTGCTGCCAGGGGGAATTCTCCACCCGAATTCTGGCCCTCGGCCATGGGGAGGGGGAGGCTGTGTCCTCTGCAAGGGGTTGGGCCAACAGGGGGTGATCCCAGGGGATGAGATCCCAGAGGACCAGATCCCAAAGGATGAGATCCCAGAGGATCAGATCCCAGAGGACCAGATCCCAAAGGATGAGATCCCAGAGGATAAAATTCCAGAGGATCAGATCCCAGGGAATGAGATCCCAGAGGATCAGATCCCAAAGGATGAGATCCCAGAGGATCAGATCCCAAAGGGTGAGACCCCAGAGGATTAGATCCCAGGGGAGAGATCCCAGAGGATAAAATCCCAGAGGATTAGATCCCAAAGGATGAGATCCCAGAGGATCACATCCCAAAGGATCAGATCCCAGAGAATCAGACCCCAGAGGATCAAAGCCCAGAGGATCAGATCCCAGATGATCAGATCCCAAAGGATCAAATCCCACAGGATCAGATCCCAAAGGATCAAATCCCAGAGGATCAGACCCCAGAGGATCAGATCCCAAAGGATCAAATCCCAGAGGACACCCCCTGTGCACAGAGCTGGCTGTCCCCAGCGTGACCCTCCTCTGCTGGTGTGCGAGCCACCAGCAGGTGCCAAAACCCACCAGATTTGCCTCAAAACAGATTTCCTGACATTTGGGCAGCCTCCAGGAGAGCTGCAAAGTGAGGTCCTGGGCAGGACTCCACTCCCCAGCCCTGAGGGGGGGTCACAGCTCAGGCTGCACCTGGGGAACTGATAAAAATGCAGAATTAAAAGCAGAGATAGCAAATTTTCACTTCCCCTTGCTGCCTGCTGCTGACCCACCTCAGGGCTTCCTGTGAAGGCAGAGGTCAGGCAGGGGAGCAGGGGCTTTCCTTGGCTCTCTGTGTGGCCCAGAGCTTGGAAGAGCCAAATGAGTCACTGACCCTCATCCCAAGAAGCTTTTCCCAGCAGCTGTGGGAGGAGGGGTGAAGATTTCCCAATAAAGGGGTGCTTTTCCGCAGAAAAATTGTCAGCATCTTGGAAAAAAACTGATGTCCCACAGTGGGAATTATCCATCTAAACACTCTGGGGACATCAGGGGTGCCCAAGAGGAGCGGGGTGATGTGAATTCCAGCAGTGCATCCCGGCAGCTGCTCCGGCTCAGCCCGAGGGAGGCAGCCCTGGGATCATCCCTCGGTTTCCTGTGCGTGGACTCGGGGTTTTCTCTGCAAGAACCCGTCCCAGTTCCTCCTGCTCCCAATCTCCTCATCCTGAAATATCTTCAGCCCAAACCCCAGGAGCGGAGAAGCTGGGATGGGACCGCTCACCCAGCAGCAGGTTCCTTCTCCACCCTCCCAAAAAGTTCTTCCTGGAGCTCGCGGGCCCAGGTTGAGTCGCTGAGGCGCCGTGACATCACCGGTGGTTTTGCGAGCGAGCAGCCGCGTTTCCTGTGGCTCTGGAGGCTCGCAGGGAGAGATGTGAGCTCTGGGCTCCTCTCCTTCCTCCCCCCCAGCACCGCTCCCCTCAGGCCTCTCCTCTCCTCCCCAGCGCCAGCGGCCAGGGCCGGCGGCGGAGCTGGAGAGCCGCGTCCCGCTGAGAGGATGAAAACATGGGGCTCAAGTTCTCCTGCCTGAAAGGTCAGTTTGGGATGGGCCTTCGGGCTGCTGCTGCTCCCCAGAGACACCTGGGGGATGGTGGCTCCCAGAGGAGATTTAGGTGTGGGTGGGATGGGTGTGGTGGAATTTCTGACGTCTCACGGGCGACCTGTTGCACCTGGATGGTCCCAAAGAGGATTTTCCCTGCTTTATTTTTTCCCTGCTTTATTTTTTCCCTGCTTTATTTTTTCCCTGCTTTATTTTCCCTGCTTTATTTTCCCTGCACCTTTTGATCTGGAGAATCCAGGGCTTTCCTTGGAGGCAGGAAAGGGCTGCTCAGGGACACGTGGCTGGCATGCAGGGGTCAGCCCAGAGCTTGGGTTCCAGCTCCCGGCCTCCAGGCTGGCCCCAAATCATCCCTCACTGCTCCACCCTCCCCAGGGATGCTCCAACCAGGAGCTTCTTCCCCAACTTGAATTTTCTTAATGGATTTAGGCCGGGAATGGCATCAGGGATGTCTGCACAGGGGCAAAGTGGGAGCTTTTAGTGCTGCTGGCCTGGCAGGGCGAAGGCTGGATATGGCATCTCCCATTAGCTCTGCATCCCTCTGACTCCTGCTAATCATCCTCGGGGTCGTTAGGGATGGGGCTTAATGAGGATCCCTCTCCAGGATGCAGGGCCGCCTCTTCCCTGGCTTTTCCCAAGCCCAGACTCTCTGGGATTCTGGCTGTGATGGGCATAGAGTTGGATGTATCAGCCAAAAATGAGCTCTGCCCCCTCTCCACAACAGGGAGGCTGGGGGGATTTGGGGTCTCACAACCCCCCCTGTCCAACAAGGGGGAGTTGAAGAGGGGAAGCAAGCAGCCAAGGAATCCCAATCCTGCCCCAAATCCAGGACAGAGCCCCAAAATATTCCCCCATGCTTCCAGACCCCTCTGGTGAGCTTGGAGTCTGGAATAAAAGAAAAGACCCTCCCCCTTTTCCAGCTCCCTTACATAAGGCAGGGCTTTATCCTTAATTAAAAAGAGATTAAAAATATCAGTGTCTGTCCCCTCCAGGCATTTTCTTGCTTGGGAAGAGCTGAAACCTCCCTGGATGCAGCCTGTGCCGCACGGGGCTTTTCTCCTGATTAAAAAAGCAGATTAAAGCGATCTGCTCCCCTCAGGGCGGGTGGGCTGGGCTGGTGGTCGAGGGAGGGGTGGGATCCACCTCTGAAACCCCGCCAAAATCCAAGGTGGACGCAGGGGAGGAGATGTGAGGATGCTGTGGATTCTCCAGTGGCTCGTAAAGCGCTGACACCGAGGAGGGCGGGGAGCCGGGGGGATGCTGAACCCGATGCCTGATCTTTCTTTTATCCCCCAAATTTCCCCAGGCTTGAAGATGTGCGTGAGCAGCGGGAACGGCAGCGAGGGGACCCCAGCGGGACAGAAGCACCTGCACGTGCCCTCCATCATCGTCACGCCTCCCACGCCCACGGGGACCACGCTGTCCCGCGAGGGCCGGCGCGGGGAGAGCCCCTCGCCCTGCAGCCCGTGCTGAGAGGGGACACGGGGGGACCCCCAGCCCGGCAGGAGCTGTCCCCTCTCCTCGGGATGGAGCCCCCAGGCCACGGCCGGGCCGGACGAAGCTGCCAGGGACACGCGGGGCACCCACGCGGGTGGGTTTGGACAGCAGGGACCGGGGTTTGTCCCTTTTGCTATTCCCCCCACGGCGAATAAAAACCCGCACCCCCAGTTCGGCTGTGGCAGCACACGGGGGATGGGTTGTGCACCCCGAAACACGGCAGCATCGCCCCCACGGGGTCACCCCCGTGCCCGTGGGCGGGCAAAAGTGGGGCTCCACAGCTTTCCACGAGGGATTGAAGGATCCACTGCAGCAAACAGCAGCGGGATAATGAACTCGGCGTCGTCACCCCCATCCCGCCGGATCGGCTGCATCCCGGGAGGGAGCCGGGGGCGACGCTTCCCGGGGAGCGGCGGCACCGGAGCCGGCGGGAGAGGCGGGAGTGTGAAAGCAGATGGAAATTTCATTTTTTAATGACAGCAGCAGATGGCAAAAGACACGCCAGGGGAGGTGCAGCGTGGGGGAGACGTTCCCGGAGCGCCCAGCACGTGCCGGCGGCACCGGGGGCTGCTTTGGGGACCTTCCTCGGGGATTGGGGGTCCCCAAGGCTTGGCTCCCACCCCAGGGTGGGGGTAACGCTCATCCCAAGGGTGGTGGTTGCTCCACGGGTGATCCCAGGGTTGAGCCC